CCTATCAATATGGGCCAACATTTCTAAAGAATGCTTTCAGCACCTTGTTGAATCAATGCCACGTAGAATTAAGACAGTTCTGAAGGCGAAAGGGGGTCAAACACCGTATTAGTATGGTGTTCCTAATAATCCTTTAGGTGAGTGTATATATAAAAATAAAAACATGTCGGGAGTCCGTCTAATACGTATGATGTCAGGGCTTAGGTGGAGTTGTGGCTCTGAGGCTAGAGATCTGTGCCAGATTGCTGGTTAAAATCCTGTAAATGCCAGTAATGATTCTACTGTATTAGGCTCTTGAGCAAGGGCAGGCCCTGGGGTAGCGGTCCCTCCTATCAGTCCACCCATGGTGACCACCTAATCCATGTCAAGAGAGGACTCTCTGAGCTACTTCAGGTACTGCAAGGTTCCTGTGCTTGGCTAAAATAGTTCAGCTTGTCTTGTGCTTTGACTGGTTTGTTTCCTTGATTGAAAGACTCACACAGCTGTTTCACATTAACATTAGTGACACAGGCATGATTTTAGGAGATTGATCAATCAGCCCAAGGCAAGAGCTCAGTCCTTAAGTGAAATCTAGACCTTTTAATTTAAATAATTGTTGACAAATCCTGTTCTACTCAAAGTGTATATTTACCATTCAGACATGAAGATTTTCTAATCTTAACCCCTGGCAAGAATGCAAATAAGCTAATTTCCAAAAATGTTGAACTTCTCCTCCACCAGTATATTGGGAAGAGTGCATCAAAAAGAATGTCAATGAAAATTGGACCGCAGCAACTTCAATGGACAGAATTTCAGCGAAGGTCAAGGCCAATTACAGTGGACCCAGGAGCAATAGCTCCGGGGCTCAGTGTACAAACTCAGGGGCTACAGGAGCCTGAAACAGAAGGCAGGGGGCGCTGTTTAGAAACAGATAAAATATGTATTCAATATTGGAAAAAACTCATTGAGTGGTGCTCATTGAGTATTGTAGCACATTTCCTTCAGTTTGAAATCTGAAAATGAATTTTTCTTTTTTATAGCCAAAAGATATCATATAGCCTACTAACACTTCAGTTTCATATTTTATTATATGAAATAATATCATAGAAATAATACAATTCAGCAATACATAATGTATTGCTTAAAGGTGAACAAAAACGCCTCAAAATTCAACAAAATAGGCATACTATTTTATACTATTTATCAATTCAATGACAAATAAATTAAATTAGCTAATGCAAATAATCCGTATATTACTGTCAATAAATATATTCTTGTGTGCATATTAAAATTTAAATATCTTTCAGCTCAGTATGTTTTATAGCAAATTCTCTTTATAATAATGTTAACGTATCACCTCCAATTACACCTGTTGCTACAGTGTGTAGAGTCCCGTTATGATAATAAAGAGCAGCATCGCCACCTAGTGGCCCAATCGCAAGTGATCGTTGTCGAAAGATAACACCAAAAAAAATAAAATAAAACTCTACTGCGACTGAAGGGACTGGCTGATTTGTTTCTTTTTGCATTCTTCTCTTTACACGGCTGTGCTCCAAGTTCGTTACTGGTGCCCAGTCAATGTTGCCTCTGACATATATAGTGGCTGGTTTGCCTAACCAACACTGCTGATTTTGCAGCCCACAACAGCACACCCGGGGTCTGTATCACGAAGCAGGATTTCTTGCTTAGCCTGATAATTTAACAGATTTAATTTACCCCAGTTTAAATTGACCTTTATCTTCGTTCACTTACAGTAAGCCCAGACTGCCTTAAATTCCACAAGACTGATTGTTGGCGGAGTTTCGCAGCTCTCTCTAATCCATAACGCACAGACAATATTACAAACGTATGCAAATAAACTCCACATTTCCCCCCTAATTTTTAACCATTTATTGTTGCTCATACTAGAAGACTGAGGCGATCATTGTCGTGCAGTATGTAGGCCACCCACCAGGGGAAGACAGAGCCGCGGTTAACCCGGGTAATCTAAGCAGAGTTCTGTCTTAACTCCGTTAAAACACGAAAATGCATGACATGTAATTACGTGAAAAAGAAAAGAAGACAGTCGTGGTAACAGGGAGTACTTTACTGGACGAAAAAAAAAAAACTCGATCATATATTTAAACAGTTCTGTAATGCTCATCCCTGCATCGTGGCGAGGGGCTTCCAGACGCATTTGAAGTTATAATGAAGAATTTGACTGTTTGACATTGGATTGTATCAGGCCTACATCGTTCAACTCTTTATTTTTAACGATTCCAGATTTCGTTGTCATATTTAGTCATGCATTAGCTCCCCGGTTTATATACCTAGAGTCAAACTCATGATGAACCATTCAATAACACGCATGCACATACGCTAACTGAAAGGAATACGCAACTTTACCGATTGAAATCCTTAAACATACCTAATCAGCCCAATCAAACTAAATGGCATTTACATTCTTTTAAATGTTATGTCCATGTGGGGCTGTCTGGATTTGTACGATTTTCAAGTTATCTTTCCAGCAAGCAGGTGATTGTGGGGAGAAAGAATTTAAACACTCACTTCTGAGAGATTCCTGCATGGGACATCCTGTTGTTATTTTTTCTCGCCAGAAGTTCATGGGAATGGTAGAGCTGTCTCTGAGACAGGAAGTGACCTCGCGGGGCACTCTCATGCACGGCCTTGGGCTTCGGGGTCACATCTGGCTCCAATCACAGACCATGACTGAAAGTCACCCTTCCCCCAAACTGGAGAAAGTTGGAAGTCAGCTTTTACAACCAGTCATGTCACGTAAACCACCTAAAATTATGTGTGTGTGTGTGTGTGTGTGTGTATATATATATATATATATATATATAAAATCTCCATCAACTCAACAATTTCCATCTTTATAGAAGCACAGGCTTTTGCCAAGCAGCCCCCCCCCCCCTCCCAAAATTACACGGATACCTCATAAAACCCTGCACCCTCTGAGAAGTAAGTGAGGAAGACGAGTGTCGGAGTGGGAAGGTCTTGGCTCTGGGTGCAATTGCAGGCATGGCAGAACAGTGGCCTGTCTAAGGTCAACCTCCTGTGAACATTCCATCCAGGACAGGAATAGAATGGCCCTTTCAGTGCCAGCCATGTGCACATGCGTCACACACTGCCTATTGAGGGAAGGTACGAGGGTCCAGAGCACGTGTGGGATCATAACAGGCTTTGGGTTCGAAAGGTTATCGCAGGGTAACTGCGCATCGGTCACGTTCACATGCTGTTTGTCAAGACAAAGGACAGACAGTGAAGTACACAAGCTCCAGAGTTTGGGGTCTTTTAATGTTTTCATGAAAAAGGGTTTTGGAGGTACTTTCCCCACCCTTCAAATGCTGCAGAGTACAAGAGCAGGTATGAAAAAAGTCAAACCTGAGTCAAGAGTTTTCACCCTCCGAACGACAGGGTTAAGTCAAATTAAATTACACTCTCACAAACAGTACCAAAGAGGCGCAGTAAAACCAGCTTACAGTTGTGTATAATTTCGATAAGAGCAAAGGAAGAAGTATGCCGATTTTATCATTTCATATTTACAGTATGTACAGTCTGCAGCCACATGTGTATATTTATATACACGCAGATTTAGGCACCCATGCTGACACGTTTCACATACACTTAAAATATAGCTTTGTTTTTAAAATGAACGAAGAGAAAAATGCTTCCCAGAAGCTTCTGAATGTTTAAATGTCCCAGACATCGTACAGAACGATATTGACCAGAGCAACAGCTATAACAGTATTACCATGGTAACAATAACAACAACAGTACAGACAATGATGCTAAGGCTAATTAGGGAATAGTCACAGGCTGCCTGGCCCTTCCCAAAGTCATGTGATGTCTAGTGCGAGGGACAGAAGAGCACCAGCTTAGCGGTCGTGCAGGAAGCCACGGGGAGCTCCACGAGGGAGAGTAGTGTGAAACCCACCTCCTGTCCTGGGTTCCATCCCCCCCCCGTACCGTAGCCCTAGCCCTGCCCCTCCACACCAGGGCTGTCATGTTAAGTTGCCGGTAACTCGTGATCCCACTTTGTTTCCATTCCAACCCCATTTCTCAGAAATAACCTAGTTCAATTAGTAGTTAATTATCTGTTATATAAATATTTAGACTTTTACGCCAAAAGAGAATGTTTAAATATGGTATATCCTGAATACATAGGTTAAAAAAAATTACACACAAGTTTTTAATGTCAAAATGAGGCTGCTAATTGTGTTGTTACAGGACGGGGTTGGGGGTTAACCCACACGCTGGGCCTGCCAGGAGAATCGCGGCTTCACATTCAGATCTTGGTCTCTGGGCCCTCGGTGGCGAGTGGCTGGAAGGAGTTGCGGATTCGGGCGACTTCGGCCGCACACAGGTGACCGAAGGCCTTGTTATACCAATCAGGCGTTCTTCCCCTGAAAGACAGCAAAGTATGGATGAGTGTCGTCTACCCACATGTTCAGAGGAATCATTCAATGATACAGGTAAGAATTATGTATACAGGCCCAAACTTCCATATACGACATATCAGGATACAGGTAGATGGTGTGAAGGCACTCTGAGCAAACTTCTGGAAATGCAAATATAAAATCCCGAATGCGGGTCTGGAGTTGACTTACTTGAGATCAATCCTACATATGTGAGTCAGACGGGATTTCCCAGAGCCGCATGGTTCGAGCAGGTACTGCGACTCCAGCACCACGCCCCGGACTCCCCCCATGGGTGCGGAGTCCTCATGATCCACCGAGACGGACACCAGCGCACATGTGCCTTTAGGAAGGTCTACCCTCCATGACCTGTGTGAGATGGGAAGGTGATGAAAGTGGGAAAATGGAAGCACCCCCCTCCCCCTCCGAAACATTGCCCCAAACTCACCTCAGCACCACAAAGTCCCGGCTGGGATGTGGGGGCATACGGCTCAGGGCGTACTGATACACCTCAGTCTGCCTGTCCAGCGTCTCGCACACCTTCCACTGCAGCAGGTCCACATCCCATAGGTGGCGCTCTCGGAGCACGCGGTTCAGCACCACTGAGGGTGGGGCCTCCACCTCCACTGACACCCGCCATCTCCTCAGGGGGTTTCCATCGCCAACCTGGAGCAGGAAGGAGAGTGGTGAAGATGAGTCACTGGAAAGTTGTTGCCCAATTCCTGGAACACAGTAGCTAAACTTACTGGATGTGTTATCAGATGGTCTTAGTCACAGGACGGTCTACTAGTGCTGCCTTCTTATCAAGATACAGGATTCAGATTATTTCGGTTAAGTAGCCATAACTAGCAAAATGGTAGGTGCTCCCTGAATAAGAATAATGATGGTTAAAAGGCTGTCAGTAAGGGCTGTCGCATGGTGTGTGTCTTTTATGAATGTTTCTGCCATATTGGTCACCACAAGATATGACCTATACAGTTGTTGAGATGTATTGATGTTGATGTAGTGCGAATGAAGATGGTGTGCATCTTATGAAGGTGTCATGAATGTCTTATACAGTACTGTGCAAAAGTCTTAGGCAGCAAAGAAAACGCGACCTTCATATTGGCGTAAAACTATGATTTTATGTCTGTCAAAGTGTCTCAGCTTAGCCATTTCAAAACCTCTCCTAAAATCACCCCAGTGTCTGCAGCGGCCATCCTGTACACACATGCATTTTTGGTTTGACCGCTAGCACATCTCGTATAGCTAACCGATATCTCATTGACTTTTTAAAACTAATTAAATGAATTCATTTAGCGAGCTGGTGATGAAATTTAATAAATACATTGAATAGCTGAGGTGCCCCTGAGGAGAGGTTTGGGAATTAAAGCAGCCATCCTACTAGATATCAGTGACTTTTTGGAGAACGGAGGACATTCTTACTAGTTTTTATTGTCACTATTAATTTGCATGTATTTTAATGCTAAATTGTGTTTTTTGTTCTTAGCAAATGTGCACTTACTACCCATATAAATAGCTTTAATCATTTCTTTTGACTGCCTAAGACTTTTGCACAGTACTGAAGGTGGTTCTTTTAGTCAGCAATGTTCTAGGTGGATCTTTACACGTGCCAGTGTTGTGGTTCCCTTACCTTCTTGTAAGACAGTTCTGTGTTGTTGGCACTAGAGCACGACACCCAGCCCTTCGACTTGTCGCGGGCCTCCTTGAGCAGGTTCTGAATCAGGCCGTCCATGTGGGTCCGGTAGGAGCAGTCATCCTGCTCCGACTGCCTGCACAGCTCCTCCAGCGTGGGCACCTGCAGCTCGGCCTCCACGTAGGAGTTGCGCGACTGTGTGACCATCTCGTGGGGAATCTGGGGGTCCAGCACGTGCGGAAAGGTTGGCGCTCATGCCGAGACACTAAGCCTTACAAGAGGCTGTCCGGATGAGTGAGGATACCCCTCCAAGGCTTGACACCCTGGCACAGAGCTCGCTCTCACCTCAAAGAGCCGGTTGCACTCTGTGATCATATGGGCCAGCCCCTGGGTCGCTGCCAGGTTCTCCTTCAGGTCCTTCTGATCAGGCCTCCCCGTGGCATACTTCTTCTGCATGGCTCTACAGGCGTGAGATAGAGGCGGCTTCAGTCAGCATGGCACCATGGCACAGCGTCCAGCGCTCAGCTCATAAACCTACCCCTGCCACCCCTCAGCCGAAGCAGTAGTAACTCTTTGATCCCCACACCCCCTCAGAAATTTAATTAGCGGCTTAATGACAGACGAGAGTCTGTTTGTACACAGCAGGGTCCTATAAAGCCATGCACCATGCAGAAGGGAAGCGCCATAAAAAATGCAGTCTGTGCTAACGTGGCCTCTGTAATTTCTGACTGCTCCCTTTGGGCCAACAAGAGCAAGTGGTTGCTAGGTTTATGTACTGTGTCTATATAACACAGAGGACTACATTAGACGCTGCACACTGAGGAACAGAGACTACTGAGTCATTGCAATAAAATTCATGGGTTATGTGTCAGAGAACCAGGGAGCTGCATGAGTAAATGACCTTCTTGGTGTAAGACTGTGATATCATGTCTGTCAAAGTGTGTCAGCTTAGCCATTTCAAAACCTCTCCTAAAGTCACCCCAGTATCTGCAGCGGCCATCCAGTTTACACATATGTTTGCTGACTCAGCCACTAGAGCGTCACGTTTAACTAATCAATACTTCATGAAATTTCATTCATGAAATGAAATTTTACCAATACAAGAAATGGCTGGTTGCCCCTGAGGAGAGGTTTGGGAACTGAAGCGGTGTTGCTCTAAGCTGGCAAGATACCAGTAACTTTTTGGAAAACAGACGAAATTCTTGTTGTTTTTGTTATTGTGTTACTGATCATTTACATATATTCTAATGAATATTTACAAAAAAACTATTTAACTCTTACTATAGATAAATTGTTTTAAACCTTTAAGACTTTTGCACAGTGCTGTATGCTACGAGGAAGGCAGTGGCGTTGTGTGATGGACAAACATTTAAGGCAGCCCCACGGCGCAGCGAATGGGTGCTGAGATGCCATGGGGCGAGACGTAGTGGGCACACCTGGGCGACAGGTTGTCCTTCTTCAGGATGTTGAGGTGGAACAGGGATGGCGCCAGACACACGGCGATGTTCATGGGCGTCATCTGGTTCTCCTCTACAGAGGAGGTGACATCGCTCAGGAAGCACAGGAGGGTCTGGAGCACCTCCCGGTTCTCGTCCGACATGAGCATGATGGCGGCCTGCACGGCCTGCAGTCTCTGCTCCTTGGGGACATCTGAGGTGTGGTGGGGGTCAGGAGGGGAGGGGGGCGAATCAGGTGGACCAATGGGAGAGGAACAAGAAAAAGTGGGGGGAGGGGGGAAAGCATTAATGGGCAGGACTGGAAACATAGGGATGGGTTCTGATCAAAGTACATCAGCACGGACATCCGGTGCCTCTCATCACCTCATGAGTAAAAGTCAACATCACGCTGACTGCATGGCTGCCGCTGCTGACTTTGTTAAAGAACCTTGACAGATTGCCCGCAGGGATAATGCGCAGAATTAAAGGCAGGGTGTCGACTGACAGAAGGTAATGAAACAGAGCAGTTCTACATCCCTAAATTAAAACTCAGTAAAGATGCATTTCAAGACCTCTCAAGACTTCAAGATCTGTCTCCTCAATCTTCAGAAAATGTTTGTGTGTCTGCTATTTTACGTATCAGCATAAGTTTGTCTTGAAATGGTGAAATGTATTTTTTGTCAGTTTCTGTCTATCTTGTAAAGGCCTTGTGAATTCACATTTGGATGCTGGTGTGTTTCTGAGTGCCTGTGTGAGCACCACAGGTGTGTGTATGTGTTTGTGATTGGACAGCATTGCACATGAGTGTGTGTGAGTCTTACATTGGTAGATGTGCAGGAAGGTCTCGCCCAGTTTGCTGGTGAGCAGGGGTTCAGGCAGGTCTCTGAAGAACTGCTTCACCATATCTGCTACATCGTAGGCCGACTGGTCTTCGTAGTTCACATCTTCGGGAGAGCTTTCGTTCATCTGCCGGAGGGCCTGGATCCGGGACTTGACTCCTGACTTGCGGAAGAGACCCACCTGGAGCGGGATTGAAGTTAATGGAGTTTGTTTGGCTTGGTCTTCACCATGCTTCTGTTCCATGTTGTCCACAGCCTGCTGTTCCACAGTACTTCATGTACTGTAGACTCACGCACCATGTGTGATGGACCCGGGTCTCTTACCTGGTCCAAGCACTGGCTCCTCAGGAACTGCAGGGCCTGCTGCAGACCCACAGGCAGGGGCTGGCCAAAGCGCTGGACATGGATGATCAAGGGGACGCCGAAGACATTCTTGTCCTTGTAATCCGGCACCTTCATTCTCTTCATGAACTTTGGAACTGACCTGAGAATGAACACCCAACTAGTTAGTCAGGGAGAAAGCCATGCTCTACACTCTCATGCACATATAGTGCTACTCGGGGAGTGTCACGCAGAGATGCTAGACTTTGATAGTGGTCCAACAGTCTCTTGGAGCCAACCGACTCATGGCAAGTGTGATGAGATAAGAAGAAGGAGAGTTTAGCTCTGAACTCTCTCTCCAAGCATATATCCTTCAAATCTCCACAAGAAATCACCTTTGCAGGGGACATTCCATACTTGACAAATGATAAACTGCTCTGTTATCATACAAAGAAATCATAAAAACATACTTTCAACATATCGGGATACTATGAACTAATCATATACCTAAAATCTTAAATGAAACATTTTTGGTTTTAAGATCAACAACTTTCCAACCCGTATTATATATTTTGTAGGACAATAACTTATCGTAGATAACAGAAGTCCAGAGAACACTCTTTGCTATCCCTAGTACCGTAGTCTCCAACTCACCAGGTCCAGGCATGCTTGTTGGACATGGAATACTTCTCCATGATGGCAGTGAGGCGTAGCAGAGAGAACTTCTGCAGCAGGCTCAGCTGGGCAGCTGATTGGTTGGTGATCTGGAACGACGCCACAGTGCGGCTGATGCGATGGGAGATCTGGAAACTGGGCCACCTCAAGCTGAACACGGGGAAGAAGCCACGTCAAGTCTCAGGTCTGATATCAGTGGATGAGAAAATCAGTCAAGCCTGAACTTCAACTTATCCTGAAAGGGCATGAACATGCAATGGTGCTTAAATACATTAAGATGATGTATAATAGTAGCACAGTTTAGTATATTGTGTTTTGAATTGCCCATTTGACATATAGGCAGTCCCCATGTTAAGAACAAAATCCGTTCCCTAAGTCTGTCTTTAAGTCAATTTTGTATGTAAGTCAGAAAAATAATAATACAGCACAAAATAATAATAGAGTAATAATAAAAGTAATTACAAATGGTACTCTAATGCACCCCAAGCCAAGGAACTGCTGTAGCCATGCAATGTTTTCAGGAGCGTGACAAAGTAGTGCGTCTGTTCGTTATTAAGAACCATTGTAATTAATCCTAATTGTTAGTGTCAGAGGCTTTATGGCAGTCCGTTCGTAAGATGTCGGGTGTTCTTAAGTCGGGGGTATATTACTATAAAGTTCCTCTAAAAAGTACTGGAAGCAAAGATAAGAGATGCTTCTTACTCATGGACAGCTGATATATATCTCGTGCTCACAGACATTTACTGCCACCCCCAAGCAGAATCTCACCGATTGGGTCTGGTGAGAGAAGCCCCGACCCCAGAGTCTCGCCTCTCCCGCATCCCAGAGGAATCTGTCTCGTTGATGGACACCCCGTCCTTCCCCCTGTCGCTGGGAGTCATCTGGCCCACCAGAACCGAGTTCCCCTCAAAGTCCAACACGATGGGGAAGGTGGGATGTGGCGCCTGGCCCCCACCACCTCCCTCGGGGAGCATATTCTGTGACCAGTGGTCTACCAGCTGCTGAAGACCACTAACGTGTTGCAGGATGTCATCCAGGTGTGGGAACAAGTCCTCCTTCTCCAGGTCTATGAGGTCACCAGTGCTGGCGTATAGGTGTGATCCAGGGACGTTGTCATAGATGCTAACGCGACTGCCGCGAGGGTAGCGCTGGGTGACGGGCCGCGGCTCCTTGGTGGAAACGCCGCTGACTAAAGCTCCATGGGTGGGGGACAGGCTCTCGATGGACAGTGCTTTGGGGAAGGTTCCTGGCTTGTGATCCTTTGGGATGTGCACCACCAGGTCCTCGTAAGAGCGGAACTCATTCCTGCGGTTCTGCTCGGCCACCTTCTTTGCGTGGGCACCCGTGAAGACGTCCACGTCCTCCAGGTACATGCCGCCACGCTTGTGGTTCCGCGACCAATGGTCCGTCACGCTGGGTGTGCTAACATCACTGCCACCTGATTGGCTGCTGCCGTCACTGCCTGACTGGGAGGCGGGACCTCGGCAGGTGGGCGTGGCCGACAGCTCTGATGGACTTGTGTCACCATTGGTGATATCTCTGCAAGGCAGCGTCTGCAGAGCCTGTGGTTCCTGCTGCAAAATCGGGGCGCTGATGGCCAACGACCTGCGGTCACGGACCCCAGGGCCCCGTGAGCGCAGAAGTTCCATGCGCCGTAGGAAGTCCTTCGCTCGCACTCGCCCATGCCTCCCGCCCTTTGTCGGCAGTGAACCATACAGTGGGACATCTCGGTGTGGGGGTGCCGGAGGGGGCAGGCTGAGGGACGTGTAGTCCGGCATGGCGGCCGAGTCGGAGCAGGTGCGGCGGGACGCCTCAGATGGGCCGCTGCCCCCACTGCCCTCGCTGTGCAGGGATGAGTCCTCGGGCTCGCTCAAGTCCGTCAGCACACTCTCGCTGCTGGTGGTGTTCCTCAGGGCCAGGCCGGCCGGGCTCGACCCCCCGACGCCGCCCAGGAGACAGTCAAAGTCCTGCAGCCTGGACCATCGCCGGCTGCTCTGCTCGAAGGTCCATCGGTCGCTGATCGCAAGCAGGTCGTCCTCATCTGAGTCTTCACTCTGTGAAAGAACACAGGACTGGTCACACCAGCAATAAACGTGCATTTTTACACAGCGCCTCGGCCTCGGGATACCAGAGTCGTGGGTTTGATATCTACCCCCGACTCTGTGTGTGCTGGACAGGCAGCTTGCACCTTTACAGTATTTCTGCATTTGTGTGCCCAGTAATCAACAAGCTTCCCATTCATGGTGGGGCCTGGAGGCTGAGGATGGGATGCCATGAAACAAAGACGTTTACACACACGCACACTACGGGTGATTTAGAGGCACCAGTTTACCAAACTGCAGGAGAAATCCCACACTACACGGGCAAAGCATGCACACTCGTCACACACAGAGCTAGGATGTGATTCAGAGGTAAAAGGTAACAGTGCTACCCACTAAGCACTATGCTTTAAAAAAGAGAAAAAAAAAGCATACTAATTGATGTTTTGTTAAAGAAGGTGTAATAGATATTAAAACATGCATACATATACACACAGAGTGTAAAAATCGCTACAGGGACAGGAAAGGTAACCTTTTCAGGGAAGAAACTGGGACAAAATCCTACTACAGTTCTGGTGCTGGGGAAAACGGACTCACTCCAAATCCCGCTTCCAGGATGTAAAACACTCGAGAACGGGAAGTGAACAGCTGAGAAGCAGTTAAAGCATTTACTGGTTGACATTCGGTCCCAGTGACAGCACAGGAAAAATTACATAGAAACATTGACAAGAATCCTGGGATATGCAACAGCCAACAAACTGCTAGCTAAATTTCACCTAAAGTGTTTTTTTTTTTAATAAAAGATGAGAAATATGCACAGCCGTACTCATGCCGGTGGCAAATCCTGAAAAAATCCCTCAAAGCGAGCAGGACAAGACGATGGAAAGAAGATCTGATTCCACTTATCGGTGTACTGAGATGTGTCAGGAGCAGAAAGGATGTAGGACGTCAGCCCTATAGACGTGCGTGATACCGCAGGTACTAAGACCGTAAGCCCTGGATGGTTAAACACTCCTTTACAGGATACTGGTAGTTCCTACTGCTCTGGTGTCATCGTTCAAAGCCAGAGATCTAAAATCCATAGGGTGTGAGATCCTCACAATGGGACGACTGTCTACTTCTTAAATTTAATTACAATTAAATTTACAAACACACAGCTATCCATGCATTTTCCATAAGCACATACGCAATGAGGTTTTGCAGTGAATCAGTGCCAGAAAGAAGAGTGTGTGAATATGGAGACGTCCAGAGAGGGGTGCAAAACATACAACTAACCAGTCATGACAAAATAAATGCAGTTCAAACAGCGTACAATACATATTGATACCTGGAGAGCTATATCTTAAAAAAGATCAAACGCAGAAATCCATATGGCACCTACTTTCTTTTTGGGATGGTTGACATCAAGTTTCATAGAGGCACACTTGTTCAAGGTGTTGAGTCTCCTAGAAGACAAAAGATTCCCATTCAGCTTCACTCAAGCTTTCCCATCTCACCCAGTACTGACCAGTGGCTGAGAGACCCACCCCCAGCCTTAGCCAGCTGGGTCCGGCTAATGTGGCCTGACTCCCCTAAACGGAGCCCCTAAAACCTAATTAGGTCATCTAATAAGCGAGCCCTGGACTGTCTCTTCCTCCCCAGAACTTAATTGGCTGCGAGTGCTCGGTGCAGTGGGGGCCTGGGGGGGGGGGAGACCCTTTGCAGTGGCCCCCAATGATTTGGTGGGGGCGGTCCCCGATTGCCGCAGTCAGCAGATGGTTGGATGCTCTCTGCCCCCTGGAGATCATCCCTTAAGCAGCCTGATGCACCCTTAAGAAAAGAGGATCTTGCTCCATTTTTGGTGGCCGGAATGGGTGGGTATCAGCTAGAAACATGCAAACAAGCTCACCAGTCCCAAACAAGGGCAGGTAGGTTAGGCTGCGGCCCAGTGCCGCCCGTATGGCACCGGGCATGCAAACACCCCACATTCAGAAGTGTTCCCAGCCATACCTTTTCGATTAACTTAGTCCGTTTCAGATGCTCGTCTCTATTAAAGTTCCATAAAAGCCCCTGGAAATAACAATGGTGCCTTATAATATTTCCCATAAACCAGCATCATGGGAGCCAGTGGAGGGGGGGGGGGATCACAGGATTGTGGGAGAGCTGGGACTGGGTGGTAATCATGGAAAATCTACTGGAAACAGCATGAGTGCTTGTCTGCGTGTGTCTGTGTGTGTGTGAGAAAGAGAGAGAGAGAGAGAGAGAGAGGGAGAGAGATAGTGAGAGGGCAGTACTACCAAAGGAGAGATAATGAAAACATTAAGTTTTAATTACACACAAGGCAACCACAACTTGACAGACAATGGGATCATTTGTGGGAATGAGGATTTTCATTCCATATCGCTCCCAAGGCTGTAGTGAGGCTTGCCAGCAGCTATTCCAGTATGATGTAACTTTTCTAGTAAAGCTTTTCCAGTGTTGTGTCTTATTTATTTATTAGTGACTAACCCAGCTTACAGTTTATGTGCTTTACTCAGGTTCAGTGAATCGCTTCACATCAGTATCACTCCTGAGGCACAACCCTGCAGCTTCCCGCGTACAAGGCTACGCTCTAAGCTACTGAAACACACAGAAGCTGGGGTGGGACCAAAAGTAGCCTTTGTCAACAGGCACCTTTGACTGAGGGGGCACAACAGCGAACAAGGGAGGTTCAGAGAGGCTGCAGCTATGATCTCAGATGAGGGGAACTGTTCCCAGGAGGCCTTGTGTCCGTCTGAAGAGAAACACGAAAAGAGGCGGAGCAAAGCAAGACAGGGTGGGTGGCCACGCCCCAGATGCCGCGATTGTCCGTCACGGCGCAAGATCGGAATTTTGATTAGTTTTTCAATGCTGTGCGCAGCGTCTGGAGTCTTGTGACGCATATGTCCCCCCCCCCCGCCATTTCCTGTCTCTATGGCGACCTGAGCTGGGAAAAAGCTGTTTTCAGTTCAGTTTGTGAATGACTTGCCAGGATAGACTGGGGAGGGAAGAAAGAGAGCAGGGTTGAACTGCACGTTCTCTGTGTTCCTCTTAACGTGCCCTAGTCCTGGGGTGACGGCTCCAACCTATAGCGGTGGGGGGGGGGGGGGGTTGCCTGTTCCCACACCGCCGGAAGTGCTACCAACGACAACGGCGCCCTGTTAACAGCAGCTAGTTAAGAAAAGGCTGGGATTAACAGCCAGGATTGTTCCCTTTGGGTCCAGGCCAATGCAAGCAGGGCAGATGGCCGGCGCTATGGAGGGGGAAGGGGCAAATCCATGATCACCCTAAAACTGGAACGGCTCCCAAATTTAATCTGCATTTTTAAGAAGCCAAGCAGAGGCGTGAGTGATATTTTGCCGTGTGACGAAGAACACCTCCTTCCCTACTGACACAGCGAGAGGTGAGTCCTGCTTCTCACACGGGTCCCGCCCCTTTGTGCAGTGGACTTGTATGCCAGCCCCCGTGTTCCCAACTCTCTTTGCCCCCCCCCATGTTCCCCTACATTGTCTGCAAAGAGACGCAGCAAACCAAGGCCTATTCAAAAGCAAATGATAAATAAATTGCATGGTGGATGGGGAGGGGGGGGGGATCATTAGGGGTGGCCAGTCATGTCCTAGAACCCCCCCGGAGACAAGACGAGAAATGGATTCCTTACCGGCAGAGAGGCTCCACGAGGTCCTTCTCCAGAAAGTCATGGTCCTTCTTCACAGCCGAAATGTCAATCGGAAACTGAGAGTCTGCTGGGGAGTAAGAATGGCTCAGCACTCCGTTCAGTGAATGAAACACTGTGAATTCTGCAGATGAAGTTCTGCCCGTAATCCCCCCCTCCCGCCCCGTCCATTTTTGGTGACTTGCGTATCCAATTAGTGTGGAGGTGGCACAGGGGGCAGGGGGCAGGGGGCATCCTGGGCGGAGTGCCGCTGCTTCGTAAGGAAGTCGCTCAAACACACTCGTACACGAGGAGCTATTCAGAGCCGCTAATTCACTGGAACCGCATTTCTATAGACTGTAGGTGGAAAGCGCAGTTCCCAGAGGAAACCTCAGTGCCACCACTGCTTTGATGAATTTCACTGGACATGAAAAGATCAATAAATCCATAATGAAAGACACCAGATTAGACATTCCCCTTTAACAGTAAACAGCCATGTCCATTGTGGATCCTTTGCCGTGGGCAGATGGGGCGAGACACATCAGAGCTGCCTGATCTGTACCCCGCAACGTGCTGATTGGCTGGGACACCGTTCCAACCTGGTCATGTGATACCAAGCGGCCTTCACAAACGTCTCACCCTCCCTATGCTGTGATAACTGCGGAGGTAAACGCCGGCATTACTTGTGACTGCACCTTTTGAAAGTCGTTCTTATTTAGCTCTCACAAAACCTGGGAGGTCTGTGACAGACATGGCACCAATCCTGGGTTTGATTTGGGGTGGTTCTGTTTGTTGCACTACAAATCCTTAAAGTAAAGTAAATGTTTAATATACAGGCAGTACGATCCCTTCTGTGAAAACGGGAGGCAGCAGTTAAGGTTCCCGTGAGTGCAGCAGAGCCCCCCCCCCCACGTGCGTGTTGGGATGTCCTACATGACGGTTCTGTGCAGCCCCCCATGCTGCCCAGCCAGAGACGTTAGTGGCGAGCTCACACTTCAAACAGCTGGGTGGGGGGGTGGGCGGGAGTGGGAAGCCAGTGTTTTTTTTTTTCTTTTACCATGATAACAGAGGCTTTTTCCCATGACCTCGCTTCTTTAGCTCCGCCAGGATGTGTTTGGGTAGTAACTCTACCCTGGAATTACTCAGGCCCAAATCCACCAGAGATTGTTCACTCTCGCTTACCCCGGTTTTGAGGGGGCCTGGCTTTAAGGAGGCCGGAGTACAGCTGTGAAGGTTAGGCTGCTAAAGGGTGGGCCGGTTCATTGTACCAGTCAAGGAGGGGGGCAAAACAAAGGCGGGCTGGTACACTGTAGTTCCATAGGGGGAGCACACACACATTATGCATTAGCAACACACTAACCCTACATTATTAGCCCTAAATGAAAAATGAAAGATTTCCCTAAAAAGCGGCACTTGAGTTCAGATCACAAGCTGTTCCACACAGACTAAAGGGCTGATTAATGAACTATCACCGTTGAAGAGAATAATGACGTGTTTGACATGAGCCAGACCTGAGTGTCTTACCTTCGTAGAGCTGAGCGTACTGAGGGAATCCTGCCGCCCGCAGCCAATCACACGCCTCCTTCGCCTCGATCTCTGAAACACAGATGGTGAAGACGCCGCTTCAGCACCGGTAGGGAAGCGTACAGTACATGTAAGCGCTGGGGCTGTCAGAAACCCATGCCCACCCCAGGCCCTGCTATTTCAGGTGTCCCACTAAGAGCCTCTGGGTGCTGCTGGACTGAAACATATATATTATACGTTTATCTCCAGGTTAAAGGCTGAAAGCCCACAGTGAAGCAAAAAACCTCACGTGCTCAAAGGTGCATGTGGAAGTCTTTGCTGTCAGCGGTGATGTTTACTGAGCCTGACTCTCAGCCCTGCTTTACATCTTGCTTACAGCCACCCGGAGTCCTGCCCCCAGTGTTGACCTCCCGCTCGGGGTCACGGCCGGCCTTCCCGGGAGCTCTGTCCTCTGGCTCCAGACCCCCGGCCGCAGGGCGGTGGGAGGATGGATGTCGGGAAAGAAGGGCTCCCACAGAGCTCCTCGGACAGGAGAAACACGAAACAGACTCTCCTCTTTATTTTTGGCGCATGCTCAGGGCACGTGTGGCTTTGGAGGGGGTGGGGGGCGCTGAAGCGTGACACAGGAGTCTTTGATGGGAAAAAAAAACGGCCACCACCCCCTGGGGAGGCACAGTGCTGTAAAGGGGGGGGGTCACGTGGACGCACCACTGGCGTGTTCCCACACGCGGCCGGACAACAAGGGTGCTGTGTGACGCCGCCGCTGGCTCTAAGAGCGACGCGCAGGTCACTGACATTACCGCTGGCGTGTGGGGGGGGGGAGCTGACGTAACGGGGAGCCTGGGGGAGGCCAGCCAAAGCCCATTCCCACAGCTCCGCAGAGGAGCACCGCAAACACTCACTCGCTCATTGTCTACCACTAATGCTTCAGAACTACGGCTTCACTAACTCATTTCTGTCTCATTCCTGTCATGGTTAATTCACATTTAACCACTTGACCACTTTGAGCACTTGATAAGAAGAAGAAATAATTTATTTATGAAATCTCCATAAATAAACAAATTAATTAAATACGCTCCTTGGGACAAGACAACAGAAAACTTCTAGGCAGTAACAGAACAACAGCACACAGAAAGCGTGCAGCATGGAAAGACTTCGCAAAAGCGTCATTTACACCGTTTAGACCCAGGTCGAGTTCCGTGCAGCATGAGGGTTATGGAAGTGGACCAGGAACCATGAAGGTTCTCAGGAGAGCCGGCCCTGCTATGCAACTCAACACCTTCGGCGCGCTGACGACACCACATTTACAGCTCAAAACTATGTACAGCTGGAGGCACTTATAAGGAAAGTCAAATAACAGAGTGAAAAAGGAGGACTACGGCTCAACGTGACGAAAAGCATGGGTAATACCTCAGGATCGACAGCCAAATTTATTGCTGATGATGACGGCACAGGGAGTATCGACAGCCTGTGCCTATTTGGATCAATCAACAACAGCAAAGGATCCAGCAGTCAAGATGTGCAGTATCTTAGACTGGCATTAACCCGAGGTCTAACGAGGGGCCAAACGGCCTCAACAAAGATCAGCAATGATCTGAAAATGCATCTGAATGTGAAAGCAGGACAAAAAAGAACTTTCACTTAAAGCACATTGAATATTGTACATACTGTATTTGAAGACCCAATGGATAGACAATGATGCTGGAAAAAGTTGAAGGTGGAGGAAGACAACCAATAAAAACATGGATGGACTCATCAGGCAGCAATTAACATGCCTTGGGAAGCCTGTAGACCTGGACAGGACACAGAAGGTTCTGGGGAATTCCGTCTAGATGGTCACTAGAATTCAACATTGACTTGACAGCACCTAAAACAAATAGTTTTAAAATGACGCTTTTCCCTAATTTCTAACCAACGATTCATCCAAAGCCTAAAGCCAACCAACCACAGTATATGTGCCACATAGCCTGGGCATCTGCTCCACCTCCACTATACTGACAAACATGTAAACTGCCAAAAAAATATTTATTTTCTACCCTAATTTCAGTATTTATGCAGTTTTTTTGCTGGTACTGTTTAAACAAAGGCTCTGTTGGCAAATAACTGCAGAATTGCAAAACACAAGATTCATTTATTGTGGAGATCACGCTTTGCAAGAGAAATCCCTGCGACCTTGTACTGGATGAGGTGTTAGGATTATGGTTAGGTGTTCTTCGATGGATGGATGGAAGGACGGATGGATGGAAGGACGGATGGATTAATGAAGTGAGGGTTGGATGAAATATAAATGACATGGTATCACTGCATAGAAAATGAAGAACAAAATTCACGTTTCTAGTACATTTACATTTATTTAGCAGACAAAGGTGGGAGCAAATAGAACATTACAGACTAGGAATAAGTGCAGCTAGGAGCAGTATTAAGCAGTATTTGGTTTTTCTGAGAAACAAGATACAAACTGCTGTTCTTCTACTGACCCCTAAAGGGACCGTCTCCCAAATGGGGACTAGAATCCTAGACTCTGAGATTTAGTCTGATGCTCTGCTGATTGAGCTACTGAAAACTTTGACAAGTAGAGTTTAGGGGTAACCTGGTTTCACACACTCACTGCTCAGCCCAGTGAGAATCTAGACAGAGTTCACCATGACCGCCAGTCAAACCAGTCGGCTGCTTCCTACCCACATCCTGAGCAGTGAGCATGTGGTAAATGCATCTATCATAGCTCCTACCCATAATGCACTGGGCTCGACTGTGGCCTTCCCACAATGCCTTGGAGCTTCAGCTCTGCTCAGCTGAACGTCTCAGCGAGCTTGACCTCTTGACCCCGGCAGTCGCAGTACCTACAGTCACTAGGCGGAGTGGGAGGAGTCAGGCTGACGTGCTGGCACACACAGCATTCCCCCCGCCTACTCCCATTCTCCCAGGGAAAACCGCGGACAATTGCTGCACTGGCTCTCAGCCAGAACACGCAGATGTGGAAAGCAGACTCTGGGTGTGGGGTGGGCCGGTGTTGGGTTTCTACTCCACAATGGGCAGAGGACACCATGCGACTAAGGCACAATGGCCCCAATCGCCTGCGACACAAACGTGACCCATGGGGATGGGGGTGGTGAGGAACATGCTGTGCGAAGAACACGAGGAACATGCAGTAACAGATTTTGGAATGGTACTAGGGGGGGGGGGGGGGGGAGGGCGGGTGTATACATGTCCTGGCAGCAGCGTGACGTTCCACAGGGCCTCCCTCTCACTCCATCACCTCTAAGCCAGGGAACAGGCTAAGTTACACGAGAGTACAGCGATACGGCACAGAGCAAACCCATCACCACGAAGATGGAAGCTGGGACAATCCCTGTAACAAAGGGGTCTGACTGCAGATCCAGCTACTGAATGACGAAGGATCAAACATCCCTGTCACACAAAAACGAGCTCCGGTGTGAAGAAGGTGTCATGGATGCCACACAGCAGCACGGAGAAGCACTACGGCGTCACCGCGAATTGCAGGTCACGCAGCACTACGGCGTCACCGCGAATTGGAGGTCACGCAGCACTACGGCGTCACCGCGAATTGGAGGTCACGCAGCACTACGGCGTCACCGCGAATTGCAGGTCACGCAGCACTACGGCGTCACCATGAATTGGAGGTCACGCAGCACTACGGCGTCGCCGTGAATTGGAGGTCACTCAGTACTACGGCGTCGCCGTGAATTGGAGGTCACGCAGGGCTGCTCATTTTCCCTCTGATAAACAGGCGGACCCCCGCTCTGTAAAGCAGCTGCTGGATTCCCATACATATCCTGCTTCTCTTTCTACATGTTACTGCCGGGGGGGGTAGGCTGATCCACACCCCCCTGTTCCAGCCACTCCTAAATCTCCTGCCGTCCACCACTGATCTCCTACCCCAAATTCGTCCCGCTTAGTACGCCGCATCTTCAGTCCTGCCCCAAAACCTCCATAGTTTCCATTTATGGGTGGGGGGGGCACCGAAACAGGAAGCAAACAGTATGTGAATTTAACTCCACTCCTTTCCATTGCAGGATACAATCACATCACACCGGATCCTGGATCCTGTTAGATTAAGCTGTGTGTTGAATGCTGTAGTGAAGCTGCTCAGCCCCTACCACAGGCCTGAGGCATGCTATCCAAAGGGGGAAAGTTCAGGTTCAGAAAGTACAAATCCAGATCAAGGTTTTGTTTCAACCTACCAGTTGAACACAAAGAGTCACGGTCACAGAGAACTCAAGTTGTTGGTTGAAACAAAATCTTGGTATGGATTTGTTCTTTCTGAACCTGAACTTTCCACCTCTGATGCCACCTGATGTGTGTTGGAAGGGGGTTCAGATGTTTCTGTTAGCTATGAATGGGAAAAAAAACTGTAGGAAGAGGGAAAAAGAACCATAGGCAACCACTGCCAGTGAGTCAGAGCACTAAGCTAGGCTAAACGAACTAGGCTACACCGCTAAACCTGCTACGCTAAATGTGCTAGGCTAAATGAGGTAGGCTAAATGAGCTAGGCTAAATGTGCTAGGCTAAATGAGCTAGGCTAAATGAGCTAGGCTAAATGAGGTAGGCTAAATGTGCTAGGCTAAATGTGCTAGGCTAAATGAGCTAGGCTAAATGAGCTAGGCTAAATGTGCTAGGCTAAATGAGCTAGGCCAATCGCCTGCCAGCATAATTGCAGGACCTGTGAGGTATGAGACATCAGCTGTGTAAGAAACCCCACGGTAAAGGCAGGCGTAGCAACTACAGAAAGAACAGGGACATGACTAATTTCAAATATTTCACTCAAAAAACATCACAAAACAAAATTCCCTAATCAATGCACTCTTTTGGTATTCAGACAGCCCCAGACCTTGTTCTTTAACTGAAAACAGCTTCTCTTTCTCTCTCTTTCCTGTCTGCCCTTCATGCTTCTACCATCCTGAAGCTAGTGTCTGCGACGGGCCGCAGTACCACATGACAGCGGCCCGGGGAGCTTTCAGGCTAATGCATGTTTTCCGTGTTTCATACACAAGAATTCCTTTGAGTTCAAGAAAGTTTTAGAAGCTAAAAGGTCATTTCTTGGAAAAAAATAC